AAATAAATTATATGAAAAAAAAAAGAACCACTTCTATAAAACTGTTCTTGATCCCATCTTGTCCTACAAAAATGATTGGTGCAGAAGTTTCTCTGCCCTGACATAGAGGAGACCCCTTCTCATTTGAAATGCCTGAAACTGCTAGCTTGTCCCTTATAGCCTATAAAGAATTGAATATCTATTTTAAAGCCAATGACAATGTCTATTTCCAGGAATTTCCCAATTAAAAGCTTGCTACTCCGTACTTCTTTCCACAAACTTCCTAACAGATTTGAAGACCCTATTGAAACTAAAACAAACTCCTTTGCTATACATTTAAGAACAAGTGATTATTGTTAATTTTGTCTTGAACTGCTTTACCTTCGACAATTTCATGTTTGTGTCTGTCACTCTGTCTTGTCGGGTTGTTATTTCTGTGACCAAGTATCTGATAATAAAACAAAACCAAGAGCCAATAATAATAATAATAATAATAATAAAATTTTAAAAATTAAAAAAGCAAAAAAAAAAACCCACCACAATCCAGACATTGTGATCTATAAGATACTTTCTTTAAAATTGCAAAGCCACTTTTAATACTTTGGGGTGTGCCCCCACAAGAATAAAAAATACTGGGAAGGGGTAACTCCCTCACCCCCAGGTGTGGCCCAGAAGGAGAGAGGCTACCTGAGAGGGAAGGAAGCACAAAAGGAACTGGCTGCAGACTCAGGGAAAGGAGAACAGCATGGGTGCTGGGACCTTTGAACACTACAAGAAGAAGCTGGAGCATGACATGACTGGCTCTGGGCACACAGATATAAGGCAAGGCGTTGGGTACGAAGCCACAAGCTACTTGGGTTCCTCCTTCTTCTCGTTTACCTTTTTCAGCTTCTGCTTGGGAGGCAGCAAAAAGCCCACCATCTTGCAGCTTTCCCTTAACTGCGTCTTTCTGCTTCTTAATGCCCTTCTGGTGGGTGATCTCTAGTTAGTTACTGTGGGTCATGGTGACAGCAGCGGCTCCAACTTGCCTCCATTTCGTCCTCTCATTCCAGCTGATGATATAAGACACACTCTTGAGATTAAAAAAATACAACCCGGTTGAAAGTAAAGAAAAAAAAGAGGAAGAGGAGGAAGAAGGAAGAAGAGGAGGAGGAGGAAAAAGAAGAGGAAGAAAAGCCACTTAGCAAACTAATCAAACAAGACCTAGAGTGACTATACTAATATCTGACCAAAAGGGTTTTCATACAAAATCATTAGGAAGAACGAAGAAAGACATTTTGTAACAATAATGATAAAAGTGTCACTACTTTTACATTTTAAGAAAGAACAGTAACTATAAATGTAATTTACACCTAAGAACAGAATCCCAAAGTACATGAGAAAAGAAATAGATTAATTCAACCATAGTTGGTAATGCTACTACTTTATTTTCAGTATATGGAAGATCAGCATGTAAAAACAAGACAGAAGAACATTATAAGCAAATCTGGCCATGTGTGGTGACCTATGTCTGTGATCCCAGCACTAGGGAGGTAGAAGTTGGAGGACTGAGAATTCAGGGTCATCCTTGGCCACATGGTGAACTTGAGGGCAGCCTGAGCTACCCAGGACTGTGTCTCAAAAAATAAAAATTAATAAAGAAGAATTCTCACAACTCATTACTATAAAAATTAAATACCATTAAAATCGATCCAAGGATTAAAATGGACATTTCTTCAAGAATATGTTAAATGGCCAATAAATACACTGCAAATGCAAATAAAAAACACAAACCCCCACATTCTTAAAGTGTTTTTAACTTACACACCCACACCCACAAACACAAACCATAGCCAACATGTAGAGATCGGAAGACAACCTGTGGGAGGAGTCCGTTCTCTCCTTTCTCGACTTTTGTCTCAGGATTAGATTCAAGTTGTCAGGCTTGGCAGGCAGTGCCTTTACCTGGTGACCTAGCTCAACAGACCCCAAACAACTGTTTTTAAACATAGAAAATAATCAGTGTTAGCAAGACTGTAGGGGAATTGGAACCTTTGCACATTGTTGGTCTGGATATAAAATAGCACCATTGCATTGGAAAACAGCCTGGCCGTTCAGCAGGTTCAAAAAGTTCAGCACAGAGCTGCCCTCTGACCTAACTGATCCAGACCTGGGTATACACACAAAAGAAATAAGAAGACATTTTCACACAAAGGCGTGTACATGAATGTTCATAGCAGCAATGTCCTCTATGTCCCAAAGGTGAAAACAATCCAAACAAATATCGACCAATGAAGCAATAATCAAAATGTGATATGTTCAAAGAATGAGATATTGTTCGATCATAATAGGGAGTGAAGTTCTGATTCTTGTATGACAGGGATGAACCGAAAAATGCTATGCTACCTCAACCAGCCAAACCCAAAGGCCTCCGATCACATGGCTTAGTCTGTATGAGATATCCAGAGTGCACAGACCCACAGGGACAGTGGGTAAAAGTGACTGAGAGGCGTGAGGGAATGGGAGAGGAGGACGTGTCCTAGTTATGAGCTTTCCTTTCAGTAATGAAATAGCTGGCGTCAACAGTGATGATGTCGTACATTTGTGGACGTACTATCAACCACTGGACTGTTTGTTTAAAAGAGTGAATTTTCTATTTTGTGAGTTTACGTTTAAAATTTATTAAAAGGAAAACTACAAGATTGAAATAACGACCTGAACACATTAAGTTACCCAAATCGTTGTTGTGGAAACTGGTGTATATCCTAAATCTCAACTTGAGACGCTATACTTCAAACTAACTTATGATACAACAGAAGACAAATCCTCCAACTGTAACTAAGTTTTAAGAAGCAACCCAGTGTGGACACCAGGAACGGTGAGACTCTCCATGAGGACACCATGACCCCCCTCTGCTGTGTATCAGAAAACACTATTAGCAAAATAATTCTTACACTCATTATTATAAAAATATTAAATATTCTTAAAAGTGGACAAAGATGAAAATGGGCATTTCTCCAAGAGTATGGACAAATGGTTAATAAACACAATGGAAATGCAAATTCAAAACCCAAATATTTTTAAATGTTTTTTATCATGTACACACACACACACACAGAGAGAGAGAGATGGGCACCACAGCATGCATGTGCTTATTCATAGATCTACTCACAGCTTCTGGTGGTGCTGCTGGCACATTTGTCATCCCCAAGCCGGGCGTCCTCAGCACTTGGAAACCCTCACTAGCTCTGATTCTTTGCATTAGTTGTTCCCGACTCAAAGCATCACAGTGAGGTTAGCACTGCCCAGGCTAAATGCTTACTCAACATCGCTTCCATTTTCTGTCATAGTACGTGGTGGGCTCCGCTTTCCACCAAAGACCAATTGGGCATATAATGCCACAGAAGAGGAGGAGGAGGAGGAGGAGGAGGAGGAGGAGGAGGAGGAGATTACTGCACAATGATTTTCATCTGTTATGATCAATGTACAGATAAACTATAGAAAATTTAACTCTTTTGAATGAGAACAGAATTAAGCATTCATACGCAAAATGGAAACAGAAAAATGTGATGGAGGAAGGCTAGAAGAAAGAAAGATGGGCTGTAAAGACAAAGAACAAGAGAAAACATTTCCATGTGGCAGCTACAAACTGGGAGATGCCGTCTGTGCCTCTATACGTGGAGGCTTTCTTTTTTCAGTTGGAAATGGCAATGTGACTGTATTAGAAGCGTGATGAAGATACTTAGCTGTTATGTAAAGCAGTCAGTACATGAGCTCATAGCTTAATCAGAGTTATAGGGGAGGGAAAACAAGAACAAGCAGAAAGAAAGAAATACACCAAGATGGCTGACTCCCTCTCTGTGTCCAGGAGCAAAGCTATGGAGGGAGGGATTAGAGAGTTTGTTTTGTCAACTCTTACACACACACACACACACACACACCTTTAAAGTTCACATGGCACTTCCTTGATCTTTCCATATTAGTTGGGGGACTCTTTGTGAAAATGTTCTTTACCAACATTCACAGGTTAAGGGCTATATATATTTAGATTAGTTGCTACTTTTTTCCCATACATTTAAAAGGTTTTTAAATTTTTTTTCTTTTCAGGAAAACCTCACATCTTGATCATTTATAATTCAAGTTACTGTTAGTGTTGTTGTCTTGCTTAAACTAAAGTAAAGTCTCTCAGTGAGATTCCATAATTCTGCTTTGGCTTCAGTGGTGCTGGGAAAAGGGCTTCTGGAAAACATTTTTGTTACCTTATTTTCTTTAAAGGACATGTATGTAAAAATGTGCGTGTGTGCACATACATATACCAGTCCATGTGCAACCTATATTTCAGCACACTGTGTCACTCAGGACTGCAGAAGTATCTCTCTCAAACTTTCCACCCTTCCTCTATGCTCCTTCATCTTTGAATGATATCCCAGTCCCTAGCATCCTCTCTCTGGGTCCTATTCATTGGAGCAACGTTGAGGGAGCCTATCTGTCCCTGTAATATAACCTGGCTTCCCAGTGCTTGTGTAGCATTCAGAAAGCACTGGAGTCAATTCCTAGCACTGTTTAAATTGGGATATGTTGGTGAAAGCCTGGAGGTGGAGGCAGGGTTATTCAAAGTTCAAGGTCATCTTTAGATACATAGGAAGTTCAAGCTTGCTAACCTGGATGACCAGGAACCCTGTCTGAAAAAACTAAACCAAGCAAACCAAATAGTGACCAGAGATGGGCTAAGGAGCACATGCTAAGACCAGTTACTGGCTCAGCGGTCAAAACAAGAGGTGGTCCATCTTGGAGCCATTATAATCGACATATACCTAGAGGGGCCCAGTAAGGCCTGAAGCAATATGCACATCCCCCAACTCGGGGCACCCCAACCTGTGTGATTATTTAACAGCAAGCACAGCTGATCTACCACTGAGAGCAAGAGTCAGATCTCAGAGCTGAGAAGTGTCTTAAGTCAGGCCAAACCCAACATCCTGTGGCCTCTGGCTTTGACATAATACCACCGTTAATTTCTATTTGTTCTCCGCTTGAATGTAATAAAGACTACCTTTTATCTTGCTGTGTGTTTTGTTTACACTTGGTGTGGATTACTAATGGGGAAAGTCCCATGGACCAGGGTGGTAACAACGCTCATCACAGTGGAGAACCTAAAGGTAGAGTTAAAAAGGAAACTGTTTCATGGGAGACTGACCTTGCCTTCTGGAATGCCAGCAGTCCCTCAGCCCTCCTTTCTGATGTTTCCCAAACTGAGGCTGTGTGGTCGGGGTGGGGGCAGCAGGATGGCAACATGACTTGTTTAACAAGCAGGAACAATTCCCTGCTGTTTCTACAGGAAACTGAGATGTGAACATTTCAGGAAGGAAGTAGATTAGAGCAGGAAGTTGAACAGAAACACTGTCCGGTCCAAATCAATGGTGCGGTCCTAGGAGGCAAGCATATAGGATAGCAGAGTCACAGGAACAAATCGGTAGAATAATATGGCAGAGCCTAGCCACACACTCGTCACACCCAGCTCCCACCAATGTCGGACACACAGCTGAGCCACACTTCTGGCCCCTTGCAGTTCCATGGGGTTATAAATGGGTTCTTTTCACATCGGGTAGAAGAGAGATGCATTCCGTGTCCAGTCACAGCCTGAACAAACCTCCCACAGGATGTACTGTATGTTCTTTGCCTGTCTAGAGCAATGCTGGAAGGTAGGCATAGAAGAATTTAAGGACATAACTAGAGTACAAATATCCACCTAGACTTTACATCAACAAAAACAACAACAACATAAGCTTTCTCATCTGGTGCAAAGTCAGAGATTTAGGAGTCCATGGCAGGAGTTTGTCTTAACTCATTTGCTTTTATAAACTGAAGCAAGAGGGATGGGAAGATGGTTCTGTTACAAAAGTACAAGCCATGCAGATGAGAAGACCTGAGTCGATCCCTAGAGTCCAGTGCTGGTGGTCTCAGCACTTTGTAGGGGGATACTGGTGAATCCCTGGAGCTTGCTGGTCAACTAGACTACCCAGTGAACCCTGGGCCAATCAGCGTTGCCTCCCCAAAATGCAAGGACACCTGAGGAATGATATCCAATGAAGACCTCTGGCCTCTACACACCTGTAAGCACACATGCACAAGCACACATGCATATAGATGCACACAAGCAAGAGATGTATACATACATGTACACATACATATAGAAGCAATATCAAAATAATTCTCAGGGGAGCCAGGCCAACAGTCACCAGTGATGCATGTTGCTGCAGCTGAAGGCTCTTCTTCACACACCTTGTGTCTCACGTACTATTTATGTCCTGGCTTCTTGGAGCAGCAGTCTTCATGTATTTTCTCTACTTCCTCATCTCCCACTCATTCCTCATTCCATATGGTCTGCATCATGTTCCACACCCTACTGAAACCACCTATGACTCTCCACCTGGCATGTTCAACCCAACGCTTTTCCTTCTCACAGAGTGCTTTTTATCCAGCAGTGACCTGCAGATTTTAAGAAATGCTACATTTTACATTTCCTGGAGAAAAACAACAACAACAACAACAACAACAACAACAACAAAAACAACTCTGTTGCTGAATTCCTTTCTGGAGACTCAGGCCCTGCTGAGAAGAGAATTCAATCTCAGCCATTTGAGGGACTCCTTTCCCAGATTCTGGATTGTACAAGTGTCAAGATGGTTTTAGGCTGCATAGATCACTGTAGGTAGGGCCTCAGGCTCATAAGGTCTGGAGTTGCACGCCTCTTGTCAAGCGAGTCTTCCCTTAGAAGCAGGAAGGTTCCCTGCCTTGCGGTAAGCCTGGCATACCTGGATTAGAAAACATGTTGACTCCCTAAATAGACACTCCTTCTGCCACCAGCCTCAGCTCAAGTTCTCTGTCCTGGAGGATGCTGTCTTCTCCCTAACTATTGTGCACCCAGGTTCACAAGCTCAAGGGAGGTCTTCCTCCACTCACAAACAACTCCATCTTTTTTGAGCACAGAAGGCAAGGAAATTCTTTTTCTCCAGAATCAAATACTGTGCCTGGGCTGGAGAAACACACTAACTTCTCCCACCAAGGCATTCACTAATGAGTAAAAGCTTGTGCAGAGGCTTTGCTTTTCTGGAATTCTCTGAGCCATACAAGTTCCTCTCCCTGCCAGTCTCTCCATTGAGTTTCATGACCATTCTCGGTTGGTTAGTTTGCTTACATGTTCTTGATCAGCCTTTCTCAGTCCTCTCTAGTCTCCATACATACCCCTAACTTGTCTTCCTTTTCTCTCCTCTCCTCCCCTCCCCCACTACATGCAGGTATCTGTGTCTGTGGAGGACAGAGGGCAAGGCTGAGTGTTTCCCTCCATCTCTCCGCATCTTACTTTCTGAGGCAAGGTCTCTCACTAAACCTAGAGCTCGTTGATGGAGAAGACTGGCTAACCACTGAGGCCTGGAGACCCTCCTGTCTGCAACTCTCCAGAGCTGTGACTACAGGTACTGCCTGCCAGCTATTTCACATAGGTTTCAGGGATTTGAACTCATGGGTAGTGAGTATTTCCCAACTGTACTCTCTCTTCCGTCATCTCTTTTGTTTCTAAAAGAATTTTTGAGACATTTTGGACACATGTAAATGGAAACCTTGACAGCTTTCTCCTAAGTCCAAACAGTTTCAAAGAAAGAACTTTCTAGCCTACTACAAGTATCAATATCTTAAAATACAACCATCATAATACCACTCTTTTAAGCCAATTGGAAACTTCTTTTGAAATAGCAATGTGTTATAGACCACTCCCTTCTGTGCATACTTCAGCAGCTCTTGTTTGGTAGCTGGAGTTACATATGGCTCCTTCTCCTCTCTCATATCTTAGTTCCTCTTAGGTAGAATTTAACCATGTTATCTATATTATACTTTACAGTCTTTTATAGGTCATCATCTTCAGGGGGTATCTATTAACATGTTCTCTTGCCAGAGCTGAGGAAATAACTCAGGAGAATCTGATTTAAGATCCATGCAAAAAAAATCCAGGCAAGGTGATGTGTGCTCATGAAACCAACATTATAATATCACAGGGGAGGCTAAGACAGGTGGATTCCCTCGGAACTGCTGTCCAGCCTGCCTAGTCTACTTGCCCAGTGTCAGACAGTGAGAGATCCTGCCTCAAAAACAAAAGAGCAACAACAAGAAAGGATGGTGCTTGGAGGGCAGCAGGTGAAGTTGTCCTTTTGCCTCATATACATACATACATACATACATACATACATACATACATATCTCATGCACATACATACATATCTCAAGCACATACATACATATATCTTATGCACATACATACATATCTCATGCACATACATACATACATATCTCATGCACACACATACATACATATATCATGTACATACATATATATTTTGTACACATACATACATACATACATCTGTACACACTTGAGTGCACACACACACATATACACATGAACACACATAAAGTTTGTTCTCACTCATATCTATAAGCCTCTAAATATTAAAGTTTTTTCTCAGATTGTGTTCTATTAAAATAATTCTGAATAAATATACAATGGACTGAATGATCGCAAATATTATAAATCTGCCATGTAAGTATTAAATGTAACAACATAACTTCCCCTCAGCTTTATTGATTATAATTTATATCCTAGAAAATCCTCCCATTTCAATTGTACAGGTTAGTGAGTTTGGGCAATTATCCTCAGTTATGGAACCAACACCACAAACGAGATCAAAATACTAAATACTACTACTACTACTACTAATAATAATAATGTCTACATTTCTGCAGGAAGTTCCCAAGCCTGGTTCCCAGTCCTAGGTAGTCACATATGTTTTTTCTACCTCTATAGTCTTGTCATTAAAAATAAAATTAGGAGGCTGGGAAAATGACCCAAGGTTGAGTATTGCTCTTATAGAGGACCAGATTTGGTTCCCATACTCCACATCAGCAGCTCAACTCCAGCTCCAAGCAATGGGACGCTCTCTTCTAGCCCTCCCAAGGTACCTGCACACATGTGTACATACCCACACAAAGACACACATGTGCACAGAATAGAATAAAATAAAAACTGTAAAGAGTTTAAAATCAAAGTTTGATGGGAATGTATCTTCGTCTGATAGAGTCATGCCAACATAGGTAGACAGACAGCTAGACAGACAGATAGAGCCATGCTAACATAGGTAGAGAGACAGACAGACAGGTAGACAGACAGATTCACATCCTCCCTTCTGTGGTTTAGTTATCTGCTGATAAAAATGTTCTTGTTGCTAGAACGAAACAGGACTCACCCTCGATTTTGTTCCTCTCTTTCATGTTTATACATTGTGGATTCTGAGAACTTTTATTCATATAAACAAATGGATGGGAAAATAAACATTTTTTGTTTAGCTTATGGAAATGTCTCTAAGTTTTTTAACCTCTCTGTGAATTGTGTCAAAAATCACATAATGATTTAGGATCATATACTATTTGAGAGATTTAATAGCTGACAACCCAGGAAGGTCCCCCCACTTTGGTTTTGTTGGGCATGCAGAGCTGAAAATTGTTTGGCTAGCAGAGGGTCTGCTATTTGGTCAGGAGAAGGGGATACGTCTTATAATGAATCCAAATATTACCAGCTGCCTCCCGGAAGCCTTGACGGGTTTTCACCCTTCAGAATAATTGAATTTAATGCTGAGAGGTATATCTGTCTTTTGGAAAGAAAGGCAGTTTTCACGGGATAAGAAATGGAAGCCGAGGGTGGAGATGGAGCCCAGTTGGTAGGTTGCTGGCCTGGAAGCAAAAAGCCTGGGTTCCATTCCTAGGACTACCTAAATAGTGTGTAGTGACACACACCAGTAATCCTAGCACTTGGAAGGTAGACACAGGTGGATCAGAAGGTCAAGGTGATCCTTGACTACTATAGAGTGAACTCAAGGCTAGCCTTAGCTACTGAAGACCCTGGGAAAAAAAATACTTTTTTTTTTAAGAGAAAAGGAAAGGCCAGGTGTGTGTCCAGAGGTGTTCCAGGACAGCTGAGCTATAAAGAGAAACCCTGTCTTAAAAAAAAAAAAATAGGGCTGGTTGTGGTGGTACAAACCTTTAATCCGAGCACTTGGAAGGCAGAGGCAAGCAGATCTCTGAATTTGAAGCCAGCCTGGTCTATAGAGCCAGTTCCAGGACAGTTGGGGCTACACAGAGAAATTTTGACCTGAAAAATCAAATTAATTAACTAATTAATTAATTAAGGACATGGAAGTTGAGGACATAGAAATGGATTTGCTAAAATACCCAGCTCATATAGCCCATGGAGAGTCTGAAGCCCCACTAGGGCACTTTATCCTAGTTTAAAGGCCTCTGCTCTCAATAGCTAGGATTAGCTTGGACCCAGGTTATGATCATCTGTGTATCTGTTAATATACAGATGGAGAAAATATATATTGTAAATATACTGTTGATAAATTCTTTCAGTCTTCAGATGAGAACTAAGATCCAGTGATGTGAATGAAAGCTCAACTGTATTCTTCCCAAACAAGGAAAAACAACAGATTTATTCTATGCTTTGCTTTGATTGAACACAGATTTCTTAACAACAACAACAACAACAAAAATTAGCACAAGGGACCGAGAGATATAGCTAAGTAGTACAGAGCTTGTCTAGCCTCCTCAAGCCCTTGGATTTGATCTCCAGCACCACAAAAATGGTAACAGTGTTAAAATAAAATAAAGGTTAACAGAAGCATTTATATGGCATGAGCCAAAATAACTGTCAGCTAAGTTACACAAAGGATATTCCATCATTAATTTTAATGAAAAGTATAATAAATTTATAATTCATGTAAAGGCACCGTATCCCACTTCTAATGGAAATGTGAAAGCTTTAAAATTAGTTGTCTGAGAAACAGATAAATCCATCCATGATAGCTAAGATCCAAAACAATTTGATTAATAACTATCAATGATGTAAGGATTATTCAGCCAGAAACAAGAGGTTAGGCACGTAATTTCCTCGGCTTCTTTCCTGCAATTTAATTGCACACAAAAGAAAAGAGCAGGAAGGCTTCCTTGTCCTTGGTTGGACTATGCCTTTACAGTCATTCACTGAATGCCCATTTCCTGCCCTAAATGTCTGTGGGATATGGTGAGATGCCTGCCTCTTAGGCTCTCTAAGTGCAAGTAAGTGCTGTTTATAACAAACTCAAAGCAAAAGACATGTTGGTGTAATCTGAGGGTCCTGTACAACCCAAGTTCACAATCTTATTTATTATTTTCTGTAGAGGACAAGATGGTGAAGCAAGTCTTTCAAAACTCCACCCCTGGTCTAGTCTTTGGATTTGGTATATCATCTGCTGAGGCATCTGAACTGTTTGTCTTATTCATCTTCACATAGAAAGCAAAGCCTTCCATTGCCTTTGTTGTATTTATTACCCTCTATTCAGATTCTGTTGCTTGGATTGTAGGAGTGCAGAATCATAGCTCCAAGCTTTTGTTGGTCAGTAACA